ACTTGGGAGTAAGGCCACAGGTGGACAATGAATGGCCCCTCCCAGAGGAAATAAAAGAGGAGCAAAAGGAGAGTAGAGTTTGCAGGAGACAATTAATTCGCTTAATTGGTTCATGATTCTCTGAGACTCCTTGCCAAGTCCTGCAGATATCAGCCTGGCAGCTCTCCAAGTCAGATAAGGTCTGTGACTGTAAATCCTCCCTTGAAAAACTTTACTGGATGTGAATGAACAGAATTCATAATAAATTCATAAAAGAGGTTTTTGTCGGACAAAGAAGTTTGCTTCATGCTCTTAGGAAGGTCAGGTCTGCTCATCCTAGCAACAGCAAGAGAAAAATACACAGAAGCTACGGAAAAAGCAATCTTACCAAGAGCGTATGTGGCCAATATCCTGTGGTCCTTCGGGAGACTCCGAGGGTGGTGATGGCGTGACAAGCATACTCATCCGGAGAAGGCACGAAAAAGCTCATTTTGGAGAGGGTGCTACTCAGCTTTGTCACGTTGGGGCAAACGAAGAACGGAATTAAGCTCTGGATGAAAATGCCCTGAGGGGCATATTCATAGTGAAGGGATCTGCTGAAGTGATCCAGGTAAGTCTGTGGAGAATAAAAGATGAGGAGGGGATCCCCGTTAAAAAAATGAAATTCTGGGTTTAGACTTTATAAGAGGAGACCAAGGGTGAACAAGGAGTGACTCCCTAAGTGGTACATTTAAGGTACATCAACCCTGAGCTACAAATATTCTCTTTTACTGGACTTAGACCATTTGTGGGAACGCAATGACTCTAGGCTTATGACACGCTTAACTCCACCCTCACCAGCTCTGCCTTCTCTTTTCCTACAATCGCTCTCCTTTTAGTACCTACTTGATAGGGAAATTGTACTCTAAGGATAAAATGAGGGAGCAATCATCTCCTCAGGTGCCGACCAGAGTCCTCTTCACCAAAGGACCGGTTAGGAAACGAACACCCAACTGGCATCCCTTTTCCCCTGTTGACGTGTACCTTGGAGGCCGAATATGCTGTGTACCGGGGACAGGGATTGCAGCAGCTGATAGAAGAAATGTTGACGATGGCCCCCTTCTTCCTCTGCACCATGCCCGGCAACACCAAGTATGCCATCATGTTTGCGGCTCCAATGTTTACATTGATGAACTCCCAAATCTGAGCCTCTGTCAAATTGGTGAAGGAATTGGGCAGAGGGTTAAGGACCCCGACATTGTTGACCAAGACACCAATCTCTTTGTCTTCCAGAACCTTCTTAATGACCGGATAGGCCTCGCGGCCCCTATTAAAATCCGTCACGACAGTCATGGTGCTGATGTTGTAAGTCTCCATGATCTCTTTAGCGGAAGCTTCTAATTCTTCCTGGTTCTGGCTAATCAAGATGAGGTCAATTCCACAACTGGCCAGCTCTTTAGCGTAGGAAAGGCCGATGCCCGAGGTTCCTCCTGCAAGGAAGCAGAGACACATGGGTGTTCTGATCCAGCTCCCCAAACACAACCAACCCTCTGAAGTTAAATCAATGATTTCTTTATTAGGAGTGCCAGCAGCCCCTGAAAAAAGTTTCTCTCTCACCGCAGGCTAACAAGTCCATCTGGCCGGAAGATGAATAGTTGTCTGCCACTGTCAGGGTTCCAAAAACATCTACTTATCTCCGCCCCCTGCCTTTTATCCCCAGGGGTAGGGTGGGCCTTCGCGAGCAGCGGTGGCTCTTCCATCCCAAGGACCAACCCACAGATTTCTTTTGCTCTCCTCTCCTCTGCCTTCTGCGCATCCGCGTGTTAGGCACTGGACCCAGCTGTTCCTCTTCTTCCTCCTCAGCCACCTCCAGACCTGGGGGCTGTTGACTCTCCATCTGAGGGCTGACGAACGGCCCAGGCTCTGCCTCTGCCTCTCCCTCTCTCTGCCAGATCCATTCCCTCTTCCCCCTTGAAGCTCCCAGGTTGCCCTGATGCAGACCCTGACTCCCACGCTGTCTCTCCCTGCTTTGATTTGGCTGCTGGAGGGGCCGGCGGCCGACAGGCCACAACAATAGAAGGCAGAAGCAGAGGATACAGGAAATCGTCTTGCCAGGAAGGAAAAATTGATCAGCCAAACCAAACATCTACCAGCTTTTTTCAACCTTGGCAACTTGGAAAACTTCAATTCCCAGAATTCCCCGGCGAGCCTTTTTCTTAGCATTCCCCATTTCAGCTGTAAGTACTCCTCGACTTATGACCACAATTGAACCCAACAATTCTATTGCTAAGCGAGACATTTGTTAAGTGAGTTTTGCCCCCATTTGACTGTGACCGTTTTCTGCCACGGTTGTTAAATGAATCACTGCAGTTGTTAAGTTAGCAACAGAGATGTAAAGTAAATCCCTGCTTCCCCATTGACTTTGCTTGTCAGAAGGTCGCAGAAGGTCGGATCATATGACCTTGGGACACAGCAACCGTCATAAATATGAACCAGTTGCCAAGCATCCGAATTCTGATCTAACAACCATAGGGATGCTGCAACGGTCATAAGTATGAAAAACAGCCATACGTCACTTTTTTCTGTGCCGTTGTAACTTCGAACTATTATTGTCGTTGTAAGTTAAGGATTTCCAGGATTTGGAATGTCCAGTATCCTTCTGTAACATCAGAGCATTCCGGCCAATGACTCCAATGCAGCTTAGCCTTTTCATTCTAACAGTTGGATTTTTCATTCTTTTTTTTATTATTAATTTTTTTATTTTATTTTTGTTACATAATAAAAATTCTTTTGTGAACAGAGCGTTGTCCAAAGTCCTCCTTTAACATTCCCTTCAAAAGACATCATTCATTTTACATTATATTTCCATTATTTCCAATTTTAGCCGTATTACTTTTCTTCTCCTATTT